TTTGCGGCAAAAATGTCTTGAGTCTATTTAGAGAGCCTATCATAATAGAGATTTTGTTAGCTATATAATTTACATGGTGTGCGAAAGTTAAAAACTTGTCAAGTTCTACTCCTAGAAATGTTATGAAATCTGCACATTCTATTGTATTGTTGTTTATAGATAACTTATTATTACCTATGTCAACTGGTTTATTTTTACCTCTAAAAATTATATATTTTGTCTTTGAGACATTGATAATTAGTTTATTAGCTAAGAACCATGAGCCTAAATAAGCGAGCTCTCTATTCATAATGGTAAATGCCATATTTACATTTTCATGTTGCAGAAATACATTCGTATCATCTGCAAACATAATAACGTCAGATCTGTTACAAACATCAGGCATATCATTTATATACAACAAGAAAAACAGAGGCCCTAAAATTGTGCCCTGTGGCACTCCATATACAGAAGTTAATAAGTGATAGGAATGGATGGGAGTCTTTCCGTATGAAAGTTATCTGACGTTTTGAAGCGTTTTCCAAACAGGCAAATCCAGGCCTAGGCTAGCCTAGGCCTACACGACGATGTCCAGCAGGAAACGTGCTCGGCGGCAGTTGATGTAGGCTTAAGGCCTAGGCAGTATCGTTTAAGCCTCCCTGAACAAATTAGACCGCGATGTAGGCCTACTAATTTTCTAATATATTTCACAATATCATTTTCAGTGACAGCTTGGAAAAACATTGAATTCTTTACATTTGTTTTTATATATGCTCTGTAGTTGTTTAGGTTGTTCCCTGCTCTTGTAGCCATTTCTTTACCTATGTTGACAAAATACTCATTAAATGCATTTGCTATATCGATGGGAGAACTGTATGTGATGATGATGAATTGAATAACCCTGACTGGGAGTAAGCGAGATAATGAACAAGTTATCTGCAATATTTCGTTACTGCATCCAACAAAAAGACAGCGTAAACGTACGTACGGTACGTAATCTCATGCGTTTGTGCGACAAAGTGCGTACCGTATTTCTTACACGCCGGAAAGGTCCATTAGACGCCTAGTACCGGTATCAAAAAAGAAAATGTATGCTAAGGTTGGCTGACAGGGCTAATGTAAGCTAATAATATATAGGCCTAATGCTAATAATATAACGCAGCAAAACTCTTCGCAAAAAGGAAATGTGATAGGCCACGGCGAAACATATCTGTTTTGAGTTTCTTGCGTTTAAAGCGTTTAAGTGTGAGCCAAGGCTATTTGCAATTTCATTTAGCCATCATTTAAAAAATATGCTTAGACGTATCACTTGCGCAGGGTATATTTGATATTATTTTATTCATACCGTTAACATTGTTTAATGTAGACAGTATTATTGATTTTGTACCGGTACTTACGTAATTTGATTTATGGATATTAAGCGTTAGTCAATTTTCTGCAAATGTAGTCTATCTTCATTAGGGACAGAAACCAATTCTGTGCTCAATGTATCTCTCCATAAAACTGGATTCTATTCAATCAATATCAAGTCGAATGATTACGTGAATGATGATTGAATTAACATTAAAAGCTTGATTAATATGATGAATAATTTTGAAAAATGTTCGTTCAATCTGCGCCACGGCAGTATTGATAATATTTTGTTTTTTACTGCTGAGTGATCAATGATTAATGGAAAATTAGAATAGAGTGGGCTAATAACGTCCTTCGGTTTTACATGAAACATTATTCTGTTATTGATTTCAACATTTTGTTTTCTGTTTTCAGATGTGAGTGGCAGGGCCAGCAATGCTCAGCCGATGACTTCGAATCCAGTCTGACAGATTTCGGCCTCTGTCATACTTTCAACTCCGCATTAAATACTCCGAAAGTCGTCTACAACAAGGGTTTGTAAAGTCCTAAAATTAGACGGGCCATTATTTATTTTATCAGTCAATCAATCACTCAACCAGCAAGGATTTATATATATCGCCGATATCCAAGGCAGAAAGCAATGTTAAGTGACGCTATGACAATGGCATTTACTCAAAGTGCACATTAACTACTGATGTTTTAACAATGCTTGTAAGATTATGGAAACTGATTTTAAATATTATTACAAAAACAAAAACAAACAATTTAAATGTGAGTCAAAAAACTTATAATGAGATGGAGAAGAGATAAGTTTTTAACTATATATTTCGAAGATAGCAGCATTGTTAGGCCTATGTAAACAAAACTATGGTGAAAATACGTTTGTTTCTTTTAAAAAATCATTGTATCATCATCATTTAATATCACTGAATGTTCCCTCTATTAGGTGCAAGGTTTGGTCTGCGACTTCAGCTTGATCTTGAAGTTGACGAGTATATGGTAGGGCCTCGTACGTCAGTCGGCTTTAAAGTACTACTACACCATCAACTGGACATTCCGAGGGGACTTGCGAACGACCTCGGTTTTGTGGTCGGGCCTGGCACGTACAATGTGGCCGAAGTTCACGTTTCCAAGGTACCGTATTTTGTATCCCTTTCTCGGCATGAGTGGTGGCTCCCGAAATTTGCCAATCTGACGGGGGATCCAAGCCAAGGGGCCGACCAGAGCATCGGCCAGAATGCCGAAATACAATCCTGGTAGGGTTTATTGGGAGGGAGTTTATGGTTTATGACCCAAAATTGTGCTTTAAAACCACAATATTAGGGATTGGCAATCTAAATAACATTATTTGGATATGAAAAAAAAATATATATTGTTGGTCCGACAACCTCGTTGTGGCGTCGGACAACGGGGGATCCAGGACTGTCTGACGGGCGGAGAGTGGGGGAGGGGGAAGTTCTATCCCTGACACCACCACCACTGCTTCTGACTGACTTTATAATAATACAGGATAATTCGCGTATTGCATTATAATAGTAAAATAGTTTGTTATGGACCACAATGAAGAGATGTGGGATGAATGGTCTGTAAATTGCAAAAATAAAAATAGTGTATCTTAGTCAAGGTTAATTCGGTTCCGAAAAACATGAACACCATATCAAATTAAAAACTTTATATTTGATTTTATAGATTTACAACTTGGAAGCCCCATTTGGAGACTGTGGTAATAGAACGCTCGACCACGTGACGCCTTATTCTATTATGGGATGTTACCTGGACTGCCAGACAACATTTATCACAGAAAATTGCAAATGCAAGGACGCGTTTATGCCAGGTGAAAGAGGGGGGGGGGGGGGGGGAGGAAATAAGAAAGATCAAATAAAAAGTTAAGAAAAAAGTCTTATTATTTCCTATTGAACTTTTGCAGGGGATTTTCCGGTTTGTTCACCATCGCAAGAGTACGTTTGCTCCAAACCCATGATGGGTAAGTATGGATTATCATCAGATTGTTGACGTAACGTTACATTGCGATGGAGACAATAACAGATATAGATGTATAGGCATATATAACTTATAATGTAAACAAATAGAAAAATAATAACAGTGCTCGAATATGAACATACGATGTTATAATCGTAGGCCTATCAAGCATAGCCCTTCAACAAAAAATTCTTTGGTTCAGTTGTATAAAATTAATAAAAGTGGTTAGAAGTAATAACACAGCCCTACATTCCACGCTAGAAAAGACAGCACGAACGTCGCTTAGCTTATATATTGTCTCTTATACACATCTAGATGTGTATAAGAGACAGATATATAACAGTATCCGATGTAGTTGGCAAATCTTGTTACCCAGTCTTAAATAAATTCTTAATTCTAATTAGATGTTATTGTCCTTATCCAGTGCATACTTACAATACCATCAAATCAGAATTAGGTACTATAGGTATATTTAAGAATGGTGTAACAATGGCCACTGCCAAAAATAAATGCCAATGGATCGTCAGTTTCATTCATTTTTCCAACAGACGAATACGTTGAACAGGTTGACCGTCATTGCTCCTGTCCCGTGCCGTGTACCAGGCACTTGTACGTCCCCAGGGTATCATCAAGTGCCTTCCCGGCACCCCCATATTATGAGACACACATTCAACGACAATACAACATGTCAAGTGAAGATTTTGCGAAGTACGAAGCTTTTGTTTTCTCAGTTTCGGTATTTTAGACATCATGATGATCTAGATTTAATAAGCGCCTCTAGCATGAACGCCGTTCCCAAATCCCGGACCTCGCTAACGTGACTTTTTAGAACTAAAGGAGCGCCGCTCTTATTTAGGCCTATATTCTATTTTGAATAAACAAAACCTCTCGGTTCATGATGGAGAGCAGATTGAATATGCTAGCTAAAAACAATGTGTAAGCGCCTCTTAATAATGACTGCACTGAAAATTCCAAAAATGTTTAGGTCTAGCGCCTGCGACAATTAGTTTTGTCATTTAGGATCATGTGAAAAATATCACTGAAGTTAGTATTTTGTTGTTACTTTATATGAAAAGTCTATAGACAAATGTCTAGATTTACGGTAGTTGTTGCTAACATGAACGAGTGCACAATCTTTAATTATGATTCTTATAGTTTATTGTTAGGCCTGCTGAGAACTCTTTTTGAACCGTAAACCACTGGCACGTAGGCCCCCTTAAAATTATCACTTAGTCCTAGGCCTACACAAGTTACCAAGCACACGCGTTCCAAACAAAATGTTTGTAGACATTGCAATAAGAATGAGAAACTAACCCCACATACTTTCTTGCAGTCTTTCTAAAATCTATGCTATACTTCAGCTTTCAGTGAAGCACGTGCTCCCTGATGCAGGTTGTCATTTATCGCGTATAAAATATTGAGGGAGCCTTCTATTTCGGCTTGTAAGTGTATGTGTCATTTTCGTTTCACAGAAGAAGCCTCCTAGAACTCGTGACGTATTTTGAAGATCTTAAGTTCACAGAAACAACACAAAAAGCAGCGTATAAATGGTACAATCTGCTAGGTACGTTAACCACTTCATAGGCCTATTCAAGCATAGAATGTAGAATCAATTCTTGGGATCATCTCAAATTGAAGCACAGTAACTTCTTTGTTTATATATATTAATGATAAATTATTTTTAAAACTAATATTTAAAATTTTTCTTCATGTTGCAGCGGACATTGGTGGATCGATGGGAATATTCCTGGGCATAAGTATTTTGTCAGTTTTTGAATTCATAGACTACATGTTCCGCCACTTTCATGCAAGTACTGAATAGGGCCTATATTTAGATAGGCCCATATCGTGTGTGTGTGTAGATGGGCGAACGTATCTACAACAGCCAATCAATATAAGGCTTACCAGCAAGAATGTTGGGGAAATGAATTTCCGGCAAGATACAGTAGACCAAGTCGAAGACGTATACGACACATGTTCGCATACGTGCAAAGGACAATTATAAGCCAAGCCTAGCTAGGTGTAGAACGAGTTCAAGTTCAAGTTTCTCTTTAATGTCACGTAAAAGTTCACATGAAATTCTCTTTCCAAGGTTAAGAAGCAGTACACCATATACACAAATATAAATAGATAAAAGTTGTTACAGTTGTTCACTATAACGACTCCTTGTTGGGCACAATAGAATTTTCTTAACCGAGAGCTGCGCTTGGGACGGCAACGTACTCTACAGTCAGGCTCCGGAGGAAAAAAAATTGTTGTACAATATATGTTGTACAACTGATTTTTTTCTAAGACAAAAACATCATATTTGACGAAAAACTTAAAAACGGTTAATGATTTGAATATTTAAAAAATAGGGGAAAAGTTGGGCGGGCTGGAACCTAGTGCTTCGTTAGAAATCTTTAAAGAATGCCAGACAAGACGTCTATACCGAACCCCCCCCCCCCCCAAAAAAAAAAAAACAAACAAACAAAAAACAGACGGACTATTATATTTTTCTAATGGTAATGTAGATGCGAGTGTAAAAAAACCCCCCAAAACCCCCCAACATACCGATCCTGACTACTTAAGTAACCAACGTTTTTTGATCTAGAAGATGCGTGGGATTAAACGTATTCTCTGTACAACCTCAAATATTAAGATATAGGTCTATTGTCTGTATTCAATATAATATTTAATAGATAACAATATTTAAAGGTATACTTTTGTATTTCAACTGTTCATTTCATTGCTTATTGTATACTGCATTTAGATTTTACTTTTTTTTCCTATGTTTATATACAAGAAAGAAGAAAAGACCTTACAAATCAATACTGTTGTTATTTTAATTGTTGAGAAGGGTTTTTGAGGGGGTTTATTCGAGGGAGGCATTCATTAGTTTTGGTATTAGGTGGATAAGTATATGGACTGTCTCTTATACACATCTTACGTCCCCAGGGTATCATCAAGTGCCTTCCCGGCACCCCCATATTATGAGACACACATTCAACGACAATACAACATGTCAAGTGAAGATTTTGCGAAGTACGAAGCTTTTGTTTTCTCAGTTTCGGTATTTTAGACATCATGATGATCTAGATTTAATAAGCGCCTCTAGCATGAACGCCGTTCCCAAATCCCGGACCTCGCTAACGTGTGGCGTTCCATAGATAAGTATATGGAAGAACGTTGACCTCTTTCTTGGCGCGTAGTAATTACACCCTGGTACCAAATTAAGTCGTATGTGCCTTACGTAAAAAATGCGTGTAATGATATTGCTGTCTTGGGTATACAGTATAGTGTATAGTGTTTTGCATGTCTGCAGGCGGTTGAATGGTTGAACACTCTCGTTACTGCATGTAGTTGGCAACGTAGTAAACTTCAATGAATACGTTTGCAGATCGAATAGAATGGCGCAGGAGGAATTTGACTGCACGCACATGCAGATGTCAGTGAACGATGGTTGTGTTTCGTTTAATTCAAGGTTTTTCTTTTTGTAAGTGTCGAAGTGTGTACATCAACAGACTGCGTGACTGTTAATCTCAAATAAATAAGTGACAATTAAAGAACCTTGATACGTACGTCGTCAAGTGTCGTCTTATGCTGCCGTCCAACTAAACTACCACGAACATTAATTATATACTCAAATAACGCCGTTTACTTTCACCGTAATACGGAACTGCAACACATAATTGCTGACAGAATGTGTTATTGGGTGATCATAACGCTTATTGATCTCCCAACCAGGTTAGACTTGTATTATTAGAATTGTATTAGTCTTGAGTAAAAAATTAATACAATGTGTTGAGAATGATGTTGCTTCCATTAATTTTGTAATCTAGGTTTATGTGAGAGAAAATAAACGTTGCAGGGCGTTCATTCGAGGGAGGCGTTCATTGCTCATTAAAAAGCAAAACATGTAAGCTACCAACTTTAATAGGCCTAAAACATATATATAAAAAGAACAAAAAAAAAAAAAAAATGCAAAAAAAACATGGAAACTTTCTAGAAAATGTGCAACACAAGATATTGTTTACGGTTTCATGTGCACAGATGCAGCATTTCGATTTCACCTTTTTTATTCAGATATTTACAGAAAAAGGCATGAAAGCATATAAGAGAAAAAAATCTTCTCAATATTGATAATACTCACAATATTTACATTCAGACTATAGAAATAAAAAAAAATATATCCCCAAAAATAAGACAGAACAGAATAAACAAAAGACTCAATATACTGTATGGGAAAATACCCCACGAAATAAGACTTTTCAATAACTGTTCAAATATACACCAACTTTTCCATGAAAATAATCCATATTTTACACTGTACATAAAAAATATGGCATAAAATCTGCTAGTACCACAAAAATGGATCCAATTTCATGCATTTTCTTAGTTTTAAAAAAGAAAACCTGTTTTAGTTTATCTGGACCATTCCTATGGCTTTGTGCCACAAGTTCATCATATAAAGTATTCGAAAGCTGCAGAATCTCCTATTCCTGCACAAAAGTTTATTCCAATTAGATTAAATTCAAATTGCAAGGCCCACTAATGCTAAAACCCATCAATAATTCCACCTATGATAAATATCGATTACAAATTAGTGGTTTTATTCACAGTGAAATGATGTTTCAATCCAGTCATTTGATTACGACAATAGAGGGCGTTACTTGTTGAAACCTCAATTTATCTAATTTAAGGAAATTTATGAGCCATGTAAAAGTTTTCTGAAATGCTAGATTTGATTTCTTTTGAATTTTAAAATGTATAAATACAGTATTCAATTAAAATATTGCATTAATTTATAACATAAAGGTAGTATTTTACTTCAAGTAGTAACAAATATTTTAGTCCATATGTAGACCTTCATTATTGCTGTCATTAGTCATTGTTAACTCACAAAGCCATAGAATTGGTCACATCACTAAAGGTTCAGCTTAATACAAATAGCTTACAAATATTTATTATTTGATGTATATCGTGTATTTTAAGAAATAAAAGAAACATCACTTAATATAACATTTCGTTAAAGAAGTGCATTTATCAATTTCTTATTTATGACAATTCACCTCCTGAACATTGACAAAGTCCAATTCTTCACAATATAAATGAGAAAAGGTGTTCTTATTTCGAGACGATAAAGCTCTGTCTAAACATCAATTTTTATTTTGACAAAAAACTGTTGTATGCCCATATATAGTCATGGTGTGATGTCATCACAACCATATTAAGGCAAGTCACGTTTCTTTTGTCAAATAAAATTTGATAGTCTAAACAGGGCTTTAGATTGCATAAATCACAAGTTTGCAAAGTTGTAAAAAAGGCTTTATCGTATTACTGTATACAACAGTGGAACATTGCTAACAATAAGGCCAGAAAAATCTGATAATCTTCTATACATGATGGCACAACACAATTTGAAATACTGTA